TCCCTGTTCATACAGGCAAGTACATACTATTTTTGAGTCTGTAAACTACATGTTTAATTTGAGCTTAAATTTTTTAAATAAAGGTGAGCCATTAAAGAACTCATTTGCTTTAAATACCAAGGAAAGACAATTTATCACAAGTGGAGTTGAAGTTGCAGGGTTTATTTGTAGGAAAAGATGGTTGTGCTTATTACCTTTTACTGAAGAGTTTGGAAAGGTCAACACACACACACACACACACACACTATATATATATTATATATTATATATATATAATATATTATATATATATAATATATTATATATATAAATATAATATATATTATATTTATATATTATATATGTAATATATATTATATTTATATATTATATATAATATATATTATATATTATATTTATATATATTATATATGTAATATATATTATATTTATATATTATATATAATATATATTTATATATTATATATAATATAATATATATTTATATATTATATATAATATAATATATATTTATATATTATATATAATATAATATATATTTATATATTATATATAATATATATTATATTTATATATTATATATAATATATATTACATATAATATATATTATATTTATATATTATATATAATATATATTATATTTATATATTATATATAATATTATATTTATATATTATATATAATATATATTATATTTATATATTATATATAATATATATTATATTTATATATTATATATAATATATATTATATTTATATATTATATAATATATGTTATATTTATATATTATATATAATATATATTATATATAATATATAATATATATTATATTTATATATTATATAATATATATTATATTTATATATTATATATAATATATATTATATTTATATATTATATATAATATATATTATATTTATATATTATATATAATATATATTATATTTATATATTATATATAATATATATTATATTTATATATTATATATAATATATATATATAATCCTGTTGCAAATGAAAAAGAACAGAGCTAGCATGCACAGTATTTGAGTACCGGGAAGTTGCAAGCTGTGAAGTTGCAGGAGTAAAGACTATGATTTCCTGACATGTGAGGCGGTCCTGTCTTCCCACAAGTACTTTCTCCAGCCACCTGTCACAGGCCTCTTGTCCTATTTGCCTTAAGGTTCCCATCTTCGGCAGTAATTTGCTTTCACAGTCATGTCAAGAAGCTCCCTCTGGGGGCTGGTAACAGGCTGAACTGGATAATGGAAAATAAGAGTTTTTAGGAAAGTAAACCACTAGAAATGACATAGATGAACATAGTGGGAGCTCAGACAGAACATAGATGTCCATATTTATGGCCAGAAAACACAGACACAACACAGCGTTGTTAGGAAAAAATTTATGCAATGATCTCTGTGAACAATGTCCTCCTCCAATCTTCACCTTGTGAATACTGACTTTCCCAGCTCAACTCTACTTCCTTTCAGATGTCTTCATCTGATGTGTTATTTTCTGCTCAAACCCAATGCAGCAATCACCTCATCTAAGAAATCTTCCCTAGCCATATCCTCTGACTTCCTAAAAAAGGTCATTGGCATTTTTAAATTTTTTTCAGCCATAATCCCATATAATGATCTGCAGTCCATATCTGACACTTAGACAAGTACTGGTTATTTGAGAAGCTTTGGGGTCAGACACATCGGGTTCTAGTTCTGTCTTTATGACTTAATATCTGTGAGTCTTCCCTGACCTTTCTAGGACTTCCATAACAAGTCTCATATGCTGGGTAATTTAAACAACAGCAATTTATTTTTTCACAGTTGTGGATGCCAAAAGTCCAAAATCAAGGCTCTAGCTGAGAGTACCTTACATTCTCCCCAGGGCCAGGGGGAGTTGCACCAATAGCGTTCCTGATTGTCAGGTGCCATGCACACCCAGGAGAGCTGCCCTGTGTAACAAGGGAGCTCTACTCACATAAAATGCAATGCACCCTACAGAGCCCAAAGACCTCCCAGATGCCCAAACAGTTCCACTGACCCCCAAACCTGCAACCAAACCACCTGGAAGTAGTTATCCCACAAAGTCTAAATGGTTCCTCTCCCTCCGAATGCTTTTGACATCTGGTGCTAAAGGGAAAAGTACAGGGTACAAAAAGACATTAGTATTTTCTCTGTTTCAGTTCTTTCCAATCTAAAATATTAACGTTCTGAGGCATTTGGGGGTTCTTTGAATCTCCCTCCCTCACAGATGTACGAGTAGCATATTCTGGTAGTTATCCAATTTGTCCAGTCTTGGCTTCCCTGAGGGTATACTTGCTACATGATCCTCCAACCCCTGTGTTTCCTTCCTCATCTGTTGGTCAGAATAATAAAGGATTTGGGCCTTCAGCAAGGAACAGTGTGAAGCCATGTCCAGCCAAGAGAGGCCACAGTGGGAGCAAACCATCTTAGGGAGAGGAATCAAGGGGTGCACTGCCAATCATGAACTGAAAGATAATAAAACTGGCTAAAACTTTGTCTACTTTTACTTTCACTATGCAGTGGCAAATCCATGTCAATTGCTAGTGTGCTGGTAAATGCTTCACAACCAGCTTTCTGGAGAAAATAAAGATGATACACATATATATGTATAAGTAATAAATGTTGCTGAGACAATGTGCAGCAATGGTTTGCAAATGATAAAAATACCTTATTGAACATTCTGTATTTCTGATTCTCATAGGATACTTATGTTGATTGTTACCTAAGATTTGTCTCTGAGTCAAATCAATGCTTGCAATTCAACCATGATTCAACAAATGGGACTGCATCTTAACCCACTATTTTCCAGAAAATGTATGACCATTAAATCTGATAGGTGTGATCTGCTGAATTATTTCTTATCTTTGTTCAAATTAAACTGAAATTACTTTCAGCACCAAGCACGGTTCTATTTTAAAATCTAGTCTACATTCTTATATGTCTTTAAGGTTACAGATAATCAGCACAAACCAACCCTGATTTCTAATGTTTGCCAATATGCACAGGGCAAACACTGCCACCGTGGCCCTTTGCAATTTGCCAATAAGATGTAGGCTCACAAGCATTGAAATCACTGGGACTGGGGGCTGGAGATTTAGCTCAGCGGCATAAGCGCCTGCCTTGCAAGCAGACAGTCGTGAGCTCGATCCCCGATACCGATAAAAATGAAAAAGACAAAAAAAAGAGAAATCACTGGGACTGAAGGGTTTCCCTGTTTCAAAGCCTTCTGGATTTGGGAATATTTCATAGAGGTTGAGCATCCTTCATCTGAAAACTGTTAAGTACTAAATTCTCCAAAATCCAAAATCAATCACTTAAAAAAAATTGATTCTTTTCAAATTTTGGTTTTCAGATTAGGGAGTATTTCAAATTTTGGTTTTTCAGATTAGGGATACTCAAATTTCAAATTTTGCAGTATTTCAATTTTGGTTTCCAAAGTTTGAGTATTTCTAATTTTGGTTTTCAGATTAGGGATGCTCAGTTTGTATAACACTTGAAACTGAAGGAAATGTTCAAACTGGAGAGACACTTAGGGAGGTATGTTGGATGCCAGGGTGAAGCCAGCATTTGGGAAACAACAGACAGGTGTACCTTGGATATCACAGGAGAGAAAAAAAAGGCAACTGCGTGCTCTCGCTTTGGCTGTGTTCCCTTTGAGACACTCTGTGATATATCCAGGTGAAAAACCGAAATAGCAAATTAAATAAACAGGTTTTGAGCTCAGAGAAAGCACGAATGACAGTTGTAAATTTGGGATCTATTGATTGAAATGTTGGCAGCAATTCACGTAGGGAAATTTTGTGCAGTAAGAGGAAACGCTGAGACTTCTAGAATCTTACTTAAGAGGTCATGCAGGGCAGATAAGTACCTCGAGGAGACCAGGGAACAAGAAAGAGGACTGAATGCCAGGCCACAGGAAGAACGTGTGTACGAAGGTGAAACTGTGCAGAGCGACTGGATAAGATTAGGAAGCAAAGTGTCCTTGGATTTAGTGATGTTAACTGTGGGGACCAAGAGGAAACACAGAAGAGACTACAAAAGTGGAATCGGACAGCGCTTTCAACAACTTCAGCGACGGAGAAGAGGGTAAGGACAGGGTGGCAGTTTTAAAGGCACATAAAGGAGAGGTCAGGAAAGCCATTAAATGCTAAGAATGCGTACTTCAGGGCGGAAACTGATTCTGTGCGCTTCTGGGGCGCTGGATAAAGATCAGCTCGGTGCTGATTGGTGATTTGTAGGTTTGACCCTGAGTTTTTTGCTGCCATCCTCCTGCCTCAGCCTCCGAATGCCAGGATTACAGGCGTGCGCCTTTTTTCTCGAAGCTGGCGGCAGACGTCCACTGAGAACAGGGTTTGGGCCGCCGTGGCACTTCGCTGAGGAGGAGACGAGGAGGACCATGTGGCAGGGCGCATGTGGGGCTGCTCCGGCAGGGTAAGGCGCGGCAGTCGGGTTCGTGGAGGAACCGGCCCTGCGAAGGGAAAACGGCGTTTCCTTAGCGTTGCGAAAGCAGAAAGTGGAGACTCGCACATCTCCAACAACTCCGGAGCAGCAGAAGTCTGGAGTTGGGCTGTTCCGCAAGGGCGCGGTAGCCTCTCCGCGGAGCGTGCGAAACAAACCAGAAACAGACTCCCAGCGCACCCGCACCAGGGGACAACAGGCAACTCCCGCATCCCGACTCCAGGGTTGCGCTGGGCCGTCCTTGTCCTCCCCGCCGACCCCGCCCCTGCCCTGCGCCCGGCGATCTCCTTCCTCCTGCTCAGCGGAGTCCGTGTAGCCCTGCGCCTCCTTTGCCGCCGACTAGCGTCCCCCAGCGTGACGTCGCCTGCCCAGTAACCAATGAGCTGAAGGGGGCCAGGCTGCGGTACGTGAGTGACGGGGTAGATATCCAATGGTAGCGAAGGGGAGGGCCAGGGCGGGGTGCGAGCGGGAGGCCCGGGCGCGTGGGGAGCCGCGGGGCGGCGCGGCGCGGCGCGGCGCGGGGCGCAGGGGGCGCGGCGGGGGGCGGTGCGTGGGCGGCCCGTCCCCTGCAGGCTGCGGGCTGCGGGCGGGCGACCGTTGAAGCCGCCGGAGTTCTGCGCGCGGGAGGGAAATGCGGCCGCGGCTTGGGCTGCTTACAGGTAACGCGCGGGGCGGCCCTGCGGGGCCAGTCGCGCGGCGGGGTGAGCAGAGTTGGTCGCGGAGTAGGCGCGGGGTCCCCGCCGCAGCTCAGCCGCGAACCCCGCGGGGTGGCCCGAGCCAGGGACAGAGGCGCAGCGCAAGGAGTTGGCTTTGGGACCTCGGGCTGCGGCCAGGCATGTGGGCCTTGGGTACCTTGTGCCCCCTGGAAGCAGCCCTGGGACAAAGGGCGTAGTGCAGAGGGGTGACCCCGCCACCCTGGCCGCCGGGCTGGCCCTCGGCCCGGCGCGCACGCAAGGGAGTAGCCGCCTGGCCGCGGGGCCCCGCGCCTGGCCGCCCCCACCCCGGCGCGACCTGGGCGATGTTAGACACCGCGTGGCCGCCTGCCCCGGGGTGCGAGGCGGCTCCCCGCAGTGCAGGCGACGCCAGCTCCTCCAACCCCGACTGCGGGCCACCAAGCCTGGGCGCCCGCAGCCTGCTTGGTGCCACTTCCTGGTGTGGGCTGGGAGTTGGGGAAGCCGAGCAGGTGGTGCACCCGCCCCTCCCCGCCTCACGTCCCGCGAACCGCGAGGGGTGCCTGATCTTGATGTTGTGACTGTGGGCTGTTTGTGTGTTTTCTTTCTTTTATTAACCACATACAAAAGAAGGGAGGAATTAGAGCCACGATCTAGCCACTGTGAGTCATCCCCACTTCACTGCTTCCTGGGAGCAGATGGGTGGGGAGGATGCCTTGGGAAGCAGTTTATATTGAGTATGGATGGGATCTTCTGCCAGGCCCTTGTCTGCCTTATGTGACCCAGGGGGAGGTGGGGCAGAAGCAGGCTGGACTGGCCGAGTTTGAGGAGAAAATGGTTTCAAGGTAGCAGGCTGGAAACTTTGCATTATAGGACCTGTGCATGTGGAATCACACAGACATTCTTGCGCATCACTGAATTAGAAGTCCAAAGGCGACCACACCAGGGTGTATAACTTTAGTAGCGTTTGGTCCAGCGCAACATGGGAGGAAAGATGCGTGGAGTAGGAGCGCCAGCTCCCTTTTCCAGGCTACTGCCAGGCTCCGGGATGCCGGATCAGAAGCCCTCTGTTTCTTAATCTGATTTTCAGAGGCACCATCATGTCTCAGACTGGTAGAGAGCAACTGGCCATGTGGATGGATTGTTCCTGATGGGGTAGAGAGGCCAGTAGGCCTTTCTGGCCTGTGGAAGAGCATTCTAAAGAAGGTGGCTGCTGCTAATTTTCCAGCATGAACCATTTACATTCTGGCTCGCCCTTCTGTGTGCTGCAATCCAGGCTACTTTGTCAGCTGACACTGGGTTCTTGTGGTTCACAGCTGAGTGATTTGGGAAGGTGTCTTTGCTTGGGATCTCTCCCTATCTTTTAATTGATGAATGATTAGTTTGTATTAACTCCCTAAAAATAGAGGAGGATGTTAGAAGACTGAGGAATTGGAGCTGAAGCGACCTCTGATATGGTCTGAGTTGACCTACAGTTTAGGGATCAGTTAATTGGGACACAGGAGTCAGATGACTCTCAGAGCACCAGCTTTGTCCCAGCTACAGCTGAATGAAGCACAGTATGGCCTGAGGCCACAGTGAAGCTGCCACGTGGTCCTCCATAAGAACTGTCTAGGTAGCTGGGGCCAAGGAGTGAGAGCACCCAGGCTGGACATCACCTGGAGGATAATAGCACAGAGCAGCCCAGCACTCATCAAGATGAGAGTAGGAAGTGGCCCTTCGTTTCTCATGGCATGGGTATAAAGCAGGTAGGAAGAGGTGAGGGATACCCAGCTTTCCCATGGGTGTCACTTTTACGTGAACACCAAGAGTGATTGTGGGACAAGGGTCATTTCCTGTTGAAGAAAGAAGAGTTAAGGTCAGGAACACTGGCTGTGCACTTTATGTAGGACATAAGCCTTGCCAGAGAAACCTGTGAGCCATGGATCTGCCTGAAAGAAGGATGCCCCTTTCTCAGTTGCACATGGTCACCCGAGGGGCTGCTGCTGGCCCTGACCAGTAAACCCGTCTGTAGGATAACAGTTGGTAGCAGCATAGATGTTCCCAAAAAGATAGACAAGAAGACACCAGGAACTGATTTCTTCAAAGTCAGAGCAATAGTGGAAGGGTAACTGCTTACACTATGTTTGATCCTTACCATGACTTCTAAAGAAAGTAGTGGTGCCTATTTTGCTGATGAGGAAATTGATCCTTTGGAAGACCAGAGACTCAAAGTGCGGGTGTACCTTGCTGTAGGATTTTTGCTCTCAGCCTCTGGCCAGGAGTCAGAACTTTGCATGGATTTCTAACAGTTTAGCTGTTTTGTTTTTCATTTGTTAATGAAAGACATTTTCTGAACCATTCCATTATACACGTGACCATCTTTAAATGAAAGGGATATGTGTATGTTTATGGTGGCAGTGAAGTAGAGAGTTTAGAGACTAAGGAGGGCGTGAAGAGATGCAAAGAGGGTGGAGCAAGACAGACACTCCCTGCTGCAGGAGAGGCGATTCTGAGATTGGCCCAGCTGGCCCATTTGAGTTCCCCGGGGGTTGGGACAGGACCACCAGGGCAGGTGTTGGAGCCACAGTCCTGCATAAACCTGGGCTCTCACTAGAGTACCAAAATGAGTCTGTTACAAATAACCTGAGATGAAAGTGAGACCTGGTAGCTAGTTTAAGAGCTAGTATTTCCTTAGTTGTCTTCTGAGGCCATTTGAATCCCCATAACAAAAAGTATTTGTGAAGTAATACTCAAATATTTGGGGCTAAAACAGCATCGAAACCAATTGTATGATTATCACCTCACAACTCTACTGTAGACTTAAAATCAGTAAAAGCAATTTATTATTTCCATGCATTAAGTTTATAAATCCAAGAACACTTTTAATCCCTTTGTGTTAAGTCATGGTGTCTTCTTACCTGTTCAGTCTTTTGATTTTTTTTTAAGTAGCCATATCTCCAGCCCTTGTAGCAGGAGTTAGTTTTTTTTTTTTTTTAGCTGAAATGTAAACATAGTGATTGGGGCCTGTGCGATGACCTGAATTGTGTTTGTAACTGTCTAGATTTGAGCGATGGTTTATCCTTTTGTTGGAAAAGAAAAGAAGTCGGCAGAGAGTGACCAGACTATTCCCTTGGCACTTCCTGAGAGCCTGCCTTACCTCAGCTAATGGGGCTCAAGGGAAAAGCATCTTTCATCTCTGTGTTGTAAAGCTGGACCTCCTTCTGCCCCCAGAATGGGTCAGCATTGCCATTGAGTGGTGTGTCCTGCTGCCTGTTGATCTGGCTGATCAACCATCACCTAGACAGACATGGCCTCGGATTTCTATTTGGCTGACTTCTAACTGATTCCATAATCTAGAAGATTCCCTTGAAGATCTAGAAACAAAGACCCCAAGCTGCCTGCCCAGATAGGAAGCAGGGATTCTCTTCCACCTCCCTGTGACTGGGGACCAGTCCCATAGTAGGAGAGATGGGAGAGATGAGAGCCCCAGGCCAATAAGCCAATACTAAAGCAAGTTTCCAGAGAAACCAATGTTCAAGCTCATAAAAGAAAGTATAGTGATAGGTCACCTTGTTGAGCAGTCAATAAAATACAACCTCATAAAGTAGGCACTCTCATCCCTGATTTACAGTTGAGAAATCAGGCCCAGAGGGTTGAAGTCACTTGCCCAAAATTACACAATTGGAAAAAGTCAGTCTGACACAGACATGGTCCCAGCAAACCTTAAGCTTTTCCTAGTCATGGGAGTGAGAACAGGGCATAGAGTGTGAGAGTTTGATAGTGTGCCAGTTCCAAAGCTGGAAGCTGTTGGGAGGCTGTCATTGCTAGAAAGTTCTTAGATTGTGCAGTGCCCCAGCAGAGGACAGGGACCCTTGGCTACTAATGTAAGGCGAAGGCACAATTTGCCTGTTTGAAAGGAAAATCGAAAATAAGTGTATTTTTAGTAACTCTTTTTGCCAGCAATGAAAGTCAGGCTCAGACAGAATTACTACCACTCTTCTCTGGGACAGAGCTCAGCCCTTTTTGGATAATTTATCATCCAAAGCGGTCAGTTCCTGTGTCTGTCTGTGTGTGAACTCCCAGACAGCAGTCAATGATTCAGACATATCTATTCTGCCTCACAATTTCCCCTGACATTTTCATCCCGCCAGTGTGTCTGAGTCTATACAGACTGCGAGCTCTTCCCCAGTCAGGACTGTGGGTGACACACTGCACTCCCTCATCCCATACCCACACCACATATCCACATCAAACCATCAGTATTTTCCTAAATTTGTTGATGATAACTTTTTAAGCTTTGCAAACTGACTCGGAGTTTCATAAAAGTGATTTATCTTCTGGTGTTGGACAGATCCTGATCAGTCAGGATCTCACCGACTTGGTTCCTAAAGGGTAAGCCCATCTAGCATGCAAACCAAGGGGCTTCTGATTCCACAGATATGGCCAGGCCCAGGAATCTACCTGTCCCAGGTAACTTCTTAGTAAGCAAAGTTTGAAAACCACGAGTTAACATTGTTAACGATCACATCCTATAAAGTTGCGGTAAGGGACTCCAGCTGTGCTGAACGTAAATGTGTTTGTGGCCGAAGCATTCCTAACCATGCCCTAATGAATATTTATACAGACTTTTTTTTTCTTTTTTCCTTTGTAGACTTCTAGCCAGCATAATGCTGGAGCAAGAGACCGGCAGCGCAGAGTTTTCAGAATGGCCGAACTGGATGCCGATTTGGATCACATCATTCCATCTTGTGTCCTTACCCCTATTGGGGCTAAGTTAGTAGTGGGATTTGTTTCCCTCCTATGTTTTGCGCGGAGCTACGATGGAGATTTTGTCTTTGACGATTCTGAAGCTATTGTTAACAATAAGGTTTGTTACCTTAACTCTTTGGGAAACTTACGTTACCCACTTGCCTCTGTCCCAGGAATTATCTCAGTTTGGGTTAAATTTGAGTTAAGCATTTGCCCTAGCTGTGGTGTAGATTTCCCATATCTTTGCTATCATTTCCTTAATCTATGTCTCTGATCGCCAACAGCAAGGAAGATTCTGCAACCCCTCCTTAATCTCATGAAGCCCAGTCCTTCCGTGGATCAGAGAGGCCATTCTAAGATTGCAGGGCACTACAGACCTCACATTTCAAGGTTTATGAACATTTTCTAGAGCTGGCCAGAAAAGAAAGTCATGCAATCGTGTAGTGATATATCCTCAGCAGTCTGTCCTTGACTGAGACTTCGAGGGCAGCCTGCCTGCTGACAGCTGCGGGACCATGCACCGTGCTGCCCAGGGAAGCCGTGGTCCTTGCTCATTTCACATTTGAAGATGCAGGTTTGCTGAACTTGCAAAATCTCAGTCAGCCTTGCTCACTAGTTGCAGCTGTCAGTACGAGGAAATTGCTCTTGTTCACTAGCTAACCAGTTCAGGAAGGAGAAATTGGTTTTTGGAAAGGGAAGAAAAAAGAGTCAGACAAACCAAAGGGAAATCAGAATAAAACTCAGAGAAAGAGAAAGCCAGACAAGAAAGAGCTCAGAAATGACACAAGGCCGGGCCTTTGTGACAATCTGTTACTCAGCAGACAGTTTGTGTCGCTTGATGGAGAGTCAAGGACTCACAGGAATGCACGCATCTTTCTCTCCAGGAAGGGTAGCAGTAGCAGCTCTGCAGCACTGCTGTCGGCGCTCTTAGAAACAGGAAGCTGCAGGTTCCTCCAAAGGGGGACAAAGTGATGTTTGTTGTGAAAATGTTGAGGGAAACTGTCTGTGTAAGATGTAGTTATGCCAATTGATTTGCAAGCGTTTTGTTTGAAACATAATATTGCAATTAAGTTTTCTGCTTTAGTGGCATAAACTAGAGCATTGCTGATGCCTGCTTTAAAGTTCTTTCCTTGTTTCCCTCAAGTTCACCAGGCAGTTAGAATAGATGATTCTGTTTGAGTTCTTTTTTAAACCGTGTTTTAAATACTACATAGCTCTAAAGCAACAATGGGCAAATCGGTTGTGCCTAATCAAATATTTAGAGCAGATAATCATTTCCCATTCAAAGGGAGGGGAGATCCCCACCCTGCCCCATTGCAACTGAATAATTCTGGGGTTTACTAGCCCCAGAATTATTTTAATAATGAGGATGTAATTTTCTTCTTTTAATTCTGTGACTCATTTTGATATGACTTTCTTGACTCTCCCACTTGGATATATAATGTGAATTCAAAGCCGAAGTTGGAAGATTCCTACTAGCAGGAGGACAGTGTGTGAGCTTGGCAGTGTGTGAGTGTGTTGCATGCTGTCTCTGAGTCTTGTGGCTTGCTGGTCATGGTCTGGCAGAGCATGGCCCTGTGCCTTTGTGTTCATATTGCCAGCCCCACCTTCCTCCCAGAAGGCAGGCTCTGTGCTTACATAATGAAAACCAGCTATTCGTGGGCCCAGGTAAAGACTTTTCTAAAAGTTGCTGTGCAGTGTTGAGTTGCCTCTTTTTTGCTCCTTGAGGCGGTAATCTCCTCTGAGGCCATGGGACTGGGAGGAATCTCAGAAACAATCTGTCATTTCCATAAACCAGTATGAGGAAAAATTGACCTTTCTTGCTGTTGCACACCCTGCTGCACAGCGTAGTTTGTGCCTAATCAAATATTTAGAGCAGGTGTTCATTTCCCCTTCAAAGGGAGGGGAGATCCCCACCCTGCCCCATTGCAACTGAATAAGCACTTTTGTGACACTGCAAAAGAACGAAGTCTCCTGGTTCTGTTCCAGAGCCCACTGAGTTAGCAGGTGGAATCCAGGCATTTCCCAAAGGTCTAAGCAGCTGGGAAGGAGCAATGGGTGCTCTCACAGCCCCTGAAGCTGATCCCAGTGCAAGATAGCATCACCCTGACAGCGGGTATCAAGTGACAAGCTGCATCTGTCCCCTTGTCTCCAGGCTTCCCCCGTTGAGCCAGCAAACATTTAAGTAGCAAGTACTGCACTACATGTGCAGTGTGGATATTCGATGCTCCTAAGGGCAGTTGGCCTTTCCACGAGAGGCGTCCTAGGCTGTTGATTAGGAAGCTGGTGCAGGTGTCAGTGCAGGAATCAGGCACACCTGCCTGCTAGAGGCACAGCCGGTCCTGTGGGGTGGTGGGGCAGGTGGTGGCTAGCAGTGTTGACAAGGTGTCCAGCACTGTGGTGAGTACTCACACTCCAGCCCCGACCTGGTGTTTTAGTAATGGGCAAGCCTTGAGCTTCCATGTCCCTGCAGTGCAATCCTCTGTGCCCCAGCAGATCAGTTTTTCCCATTCCTGAGAAGAGGGGTCCTGGTTACACTAGCAATGCTGAGCGTGTTCTCTTTCATTTGTCAGTGCTGGGGATTGAACCAAGGGCCTTTGTACTGAACCACGTGCCCAGTGTTTTTCTTTTGTTTTATTTTGTTTTTTCATTTTCTGTTTTGAGACAGACTCTCACTGAGTCACTGAGTTTCCCTGGCCAGGTCTAAACTCACCATTCTCCTACCCCAGCCTCCCAGAATGCTGGTATGACAGGCGTGTGCTACCACATGCAGCCACATTCTGATTTCTCATGCCAAAGCATCCCTACTTAATTCCCCTCTAAAGATAAAATTAATAATCAGATTGCAGTTTACTTCATATTGCCATGTTTGTCCTTCACACCATGTAGTTTCATACTTTAAATGTGAAGATGCATTTCAATGTATATTTAGTATAGAACCAAATTAAACCCCCTCAGCTGTAAGATAGGTACCGTTTTTAAAACAGTAATTTTTATATTTAAAAATTACATGGAATCCCCCCCCCTTTTTTTAAATTTTATTTAAAAGGAAAAAGGAAAACAAAACAAAACAAAGCAGTGTAAGGGTACAAGTAATACAAAACTACAAAAAAAAAAACCAGTAAGAAATCACCAGTTAATAGATTACATATTATCATCTTAGAGATAGTTGCTCAAATCACAGTATCAAAGCAAACAAAGTGGACATTCAAACAGTAAGACTGCAAACAGTTGTGTTCAATGATCCAACCAAAAACAATATGGTCAGCTATTTAACACCCCTAAACACACTTGCTGTTGTATCCTTTAGAGCACTTTTTTCCCTCTCTTTTTTACAACAAAATTTACACATTTTGGGTTTTATTACTCCTTAGTTCTTATTACTTTTTGGGGGGGGAGAGAATAAAGTCAAATATGGTAAAACAACGCTGTCAGTCAAAACCAAGGATAGACATAGCACATGATGTAAACCAGAGTACAAGGTTATCAACAATGGTTATCAACAATGTCTCTTGTTTCCTTAAAAAGAATTGTCTATCTCATTAGATATTATAAAGTTGAACAAAACAGTAGAGAACAAGACCAATAAAACTTAAGCATTGTAAACATTACAGGACTTCCAAAGGAGACAATAGTCAAACCAGAATGGGCATCTTAGTGAATCTTATTGCTGTCAAAAGTTTTTTCCCCCTTCTAATTTCACAGTCTGCTTAATTCATGATCAAAAATAGAAAACTTAAAAAAAAGTATTTACCCCCAGGTATGTTTGAGTTCATATCGTTTTGCTGAATTGCTTTATTTATTGATAGGAAGGGAAAAGGGAAGGAAACCTTCATTAGCTAAATGTTCTGTCTGCTCACTATGTGTTAGGTCCCTTCCCTTAGCCCTGGTAAGATTGGATGTGGCCCAGGTCTGTGGAGTTTCAGTGTAGTGTCCCCAAGCATTGCGGGGACTGACGAGAGACACCCAGAGACCCACAGGAGGAGGCAGCATCACTCAGGAAGCTCAGGCTTTGTGCAGGGGTCTGTGTGGTGGAGAGAGAAGGGTGCTAATCTAGAGGAGTCCTTGCCTGTGGAGCCCTGGGGTGGGAGCTCACAGGACCAAGGCAGCAGCATGGGGATAGCCCCATGGGGCTGCAGAGGTTGGTGGAAGCTGGAGCACCTTGGGCTGTGGTGGCCCCACCGGGACATCAGTATTGTCCCAGGGCCGTAGGGAAACTACTGTGGCATTTTAAGCTGGCTGGAGTGAGCTGAGGTGTACCTTGAAACATTGGTCTTAGAGAATATGCCAGAGGGGGCAGCAGCCCCTCTAGGAGACCCGACTGCCTTCCAAGTGGAAGACACTGGAGCTGGCTCAGAGCCAGTGAGGAGAAAGGGTGGGGGGCGCAGTTCTAAGGAGGGACTTCTAAGGAGAGGCTTGGAGAAGGCTTTGCTACTGGGCTGTTCAGAATGTCCCCTGATGTGTCCCCGCAGGACCTCCAAGCTGACACGCCCCTGGGGGATCTATGGCATCATGACTTCTGGGGCAGTAGACTGAGCAGCAACACCAGCCACAAATCCTACCGGCCACTCACTGTCCTGACTTTCAGGTAAGGTATGAGCGCTGGCTGGGAGGGTCACCCAAGTCTTGCCTGTGACATTTGCCCTGTATGTGTCACCAGGTTCTTGGCTCTGGGAGGTCCAGGAGGTGATTCCCAGGGAGAGGGTCCACTCATGTACCTGAAGAAGTCCACACTGATTCCAGCTCTTGGAAGGTGGCCGCAGGGAAAAGGAGCGAGTAGCTAGGGCAGCCTTGCTCCCCAGGCTCACTTCAGCAGCAGCCTAAGGCTGGCGCAGTGCAGGGGAGTTCAGGCAGCCTGCACGCAGACGCTGCGCTGTGCGTCAGCACAGCGGTCCCTGCTCCTTGCCTTTCTCAGAGATGCTACCCTCTGCAAGTTGGTTAACACCAAGGGGGAATGAGTTGACAAGCTTACATGTAACAAAGCAATATGGGGCATGCAATTTATTTTCTTGACAAAAAAAATGAGTTTAAAATATCAGTCTTCCAAGTATAACTTGCATGCCAAATAAAAATGAAGTTTACCAACAGCCTCCTTGTTACCATTAATCAGGGAGCTGCTGCACTGAATAGATCGAGTCACAGAAGTCTTCATGTGCACTATTTCTTGAGTGCGTTTAAATCCAGTATAGAGAGCTCAGAGGGGCAAGGGAGTGATGAATTGGAACCACCAAAAAAAATGAGAATTGCTGATGGCAAGCAGGTGTCTCAGTGGCAAAGGCCGACTGGCGTGCCGTTAGGAGGAATTTGCTGTGGTTAAGCCAGTTACTTGGTTCCCTTAAAACTCAGTCCCTGAGGTAGTTGTGTATGCTATATTATTTCTCCTTAAGATGCAGTCTTCCTTTTATGCACTTAAAAATGTGCCTAGCTTTCGATTTTCCTCTCCCCAACCCCTGGGACACGTCCCTCGCTTCCGATTTCCCCTCTGTGGTTAATTATGTTCACACTGTTTCTCCAGCCTTCTTAGCTTGATGGCATTAATAATAGCACGGTGCTATTTTTACCAAAGAGGCACAACACTGCTTACCTGCTTCCCGCATCTCTATGCACACCATTGCCTGTGTTCACTGTAGGCTTAACTACTACCTGTCGGGAGGCTTCCACCCCGCGGGCTTCCACGTAGTCAACATCCTCCTGCACGGCGGTGTCTCTGTCCTCATGGTGGACGTCTTCTCTGTACTGTTCGGCGGCCTGCAGTTCACCAGTAAAGGCCGGAGGGCACACCTGGCCCCCAGAGCGTCGTTTTTGGCAGCTTTGCTGTTTGCTGTCCACCCTGTGCACACCGAGTGTGTAAGTACTGCCCGCCGTAGTGTTACATGTGTGTAAGACACGGGGCGGGGGGGGCGCATTGTGTGCTGCCTTGTTTCCTAAAACAGGCTTCCTTCATGCCGCCCTCCACAATCCTGAACTCTGCAATACCTGCTACATGCTCTAGGAGTGGAAAGCATAGCCCACAAATGCCCTACCGGGGCTTGATAGGTCAGAGTCATCTGTGTGCGTGTGTGCATGTGGTACTGGGGATTGAACCCGCACTGGGCTACATCCCTAGCCTCTTTTTTATTTTTATATTGAGACAGGTTAGGCTTGAACATGTGATCCTTCTTCCTCAGCCTCCCTAAGTCCTGGATGACAGGCATGCACCTCTGCCAGCAGGAGACTTAAACACCCATGTAGGCTGCCCTGCTGGGATGATTTTAGACAAAAGCTGAGGAGTGGTCTCCAGTGAGGCTTAAGAATGGCTCTTCAACAGAGGGTCTGAGACCGTTGTCTGTGGTCGCTGACAGCATCATGGTTGATAAAACGCTTTCCTGTTGCTGTCGTAACAAAGCTGTGGTGTCAGACAGGCTTGTGCAGTGCTCCACATTTGTGTGGGAGACGACATCAAGACCTGCCTAGAGTTGGTAGCAGGTGGACGTGGGGCAGGACATAACTCCTGGGCTTCCAAGGCCCACACCACACAGATGCTGACATGAGGAACACTCAGGATGTCCTTCCTTCTCTGTCCCTGTGTCCCCCGCTTTCCCCTCAATCTTGGGCCAGGAGATGGAGCAGCTGTTGACCGGAATCCACCCTGCTCCACATGGTCACATCTGTGCCACCAAGCTGCTCCTGAAGCGATTTGGGGCCGACCATGTTAGGGTGTGACTCGACCTTGGTAAGAGTGTCAGAAACTTTCCCCCCAAAATCCCTGGGAAGGCAATGTGGTGGCTGAGAGAGAAGATTTGATTTTAATCGTTCATTCTGTGAGTTGAAGCTCCCTGCCAGTATGAAATACTGCATGTAAAATTTATTGCTTCTCTCACAATAAGCTTTTGTATTTAATAGGACTTAAATACCTACATCTAACCAGTTGCCCTGGTGAGCAATTGGAAGTTTCAGAATGTTGAGCAGAATTTCTCTTTGTGGCATCCAATTTCATTAAAATATCTGTTCTTTGATATCAAGAGTAGTGTGGAATTGTTATCGCAACCTTCTAGTATCTTTATGAATATTCCTTTTTTTTTTTTAACTTCAGGAAATAGAATTTAAGGCCTTGATAGGGTGGGGATCAGTGTTGTGCAAGTTTAGTCATGAACTCTTTATCAGTAACTGTGCCAAGTTGGAATTGTTTTAAGTCTGAATTCTCTACTAAATGTTTGTCAGACCCAGAACTTGATCATAAACAAGGGATCTCTGGTACAGGCTTGGGTCACAGTTTTGCTTCTTGACTAGTTTAGCATGATCTTAAATGCAAAATTAAATTTTTGAATTATTAGCCAAAGAATTGTTTTCTGAAATTCTGGTTGTAAGTGTTGAGACATTGATTTATAAAGCTTTCGAGCCAATTGTGACATAGGCCTGTAATCCCAGCACACGGGGAGGCTGAGGCAGGAAGAGTGTCAGTTAAAGTCCAGCCTGGAAAATTTTAAAGACTTATCAAGACCCTATCTCAAAATAAAAAACCGAAGGTTTCATGTGCCAGCAGGGATAACTTAATATGCTTACACATATATGTGCGCGTGCGCGCACACACACACACACACACACACACACACAGTGCAGCTAAAGGGACGCTGGGAAAATTTTCCAATTTAAAGGCCGCATTTGAGGAACTAAGGCAGATCCAGCCACAAGAGAGAAGACAGTCTTCAGAAAATCTCTTCTCTCCCCCTCCAGTCCATGACTGCCACTTGAGCTCAGCTTTCAGGAAATAGTTGTGGGTCGTATCCCAGGACAGGTATGTGGCATGGCTCGCTCTCATTCTTTTGGCACAAGGAGTTCAGTTTCCTCTTATCTGCACCTTCTGTTACCCCATTCTGCAGTTTTTACATTTCAGCTTTATATTGTTCAGACAATTAAATGCCTGTGTTAGACTCTGGGTAACTAATTTAAAGGTAACAGTGTATTAACCATTGTTTACCTATATATATTTTTTTTTTGGCTCTTTAAAATACATAAATTTAAGCATTGAAGATGCACAAGAAACAGGACATTCTGAGCTTATTATTTTCTGAGGCAAATACGGGGGCCTGCCGTGCGCTGTGTATGTGTCTCCAGACTGTGTGCTGGTCCCTCTAGGATGAGGACAGTGGCATAACGCTGCCAGCCGTACAGACCCAGGCTTTAGTGACCAAGGCCTCTGTGTGTTAATATTTGTGTTTTGTGTCTGTTCCTCTCCTCAACATTAACACCAGCTGATAACGTTTTGCCTATTGCATATAAGCATTGTGTTTTCTGGTCTCCTCGGGTTCTGTCTCTCTGTCTGTCTCTCTCTTTCTCTCTCTCTCTGTGTCTCTCGCTGTCACCCTGCCTCTCTTGTTTCTCTCTCTGTCTCTCTTGTCTGTCTCTTCCCCCTCTCTCTGTCCTGTATACTGCCCAGACAATGTTCTGTTGTTTGTGGATTTACCTTTCTTTTTCTCCATAGCACTGGTGCATATGTCAAGGGGCCTGAATTCTGCTGGCAGAGAGGACCGAGCCACTCAGGCCTTCCTAAGGTCCCCTTCACGCATTGAAGCCTGACTTCAGTGTGGAAGAAATTTGGGAGTGTGCCTCCCTGCCCTGCCTCAGTTTCTTTTTAGGGATCCTATGTGTACTGTTCCCTGTGAAGAAAGGATATCACCTGCTTTATGGGTTCAAAGGTGTTGCAGTTTCTGGAGAACTCTCTGATAGGACTGTTTCAGGTTATTTGGAAGAAAATAAAATAGTCTTTGGAAGGGAGTTTGCGTGAATATATATTTTATGCAAATGTCAGGAGAGGAAATATAAAGCCTCATTTGTTTATAGCCATTCTCCAAGCAGTCCCTCCTTGGTAGCCTTTTGGCATTTTTTCCTATGAAATCTTTTTCTCCTTAATTTCTGTGCCAAAAATTCATTGGGAATGCTTAATACTCCTTTACTTCAAAATAGTTACCATACTTTATAAAAGTTTGTTTTTCTTTATGTCCGTAGAGTGTACATTGATTGGTTAAATACCCAGAACTGTCTTCAGTAATTTAAAAAAGAACATTTCCTTAGGAATAAATTGGTCACGTGTAAATGTAAAGCATTTCCATGCAATGCATTGTAGTTCCGCAGCCACCCAGACTGCAAGGCGTTTCTACAGGCTGGTGCTTCCGGACCATCTCTAAAGTTATGTGAGCCTTTTCTTCCCCTTCTCTAATTTCAAGAAGCCTCTTTTCCCCGTTCTTTCACCCTCTGGTCAGTTTCCTGCAATTGCTTCTGAGTTCCCTTGGACAAGCTTCTTTGGATCAGCTTTCCTCTCTCCTTTGAGGGCCAGGGTGTCCCATCCTCAGCCTGTGATGGCTGCAGCCAGGAAGACCAAAGAACTTCCAGCCACTTCCTCATGGTCCCTCTGTCCTTGTTTCTCTTTCCTGTTTCTAGATGCCCCCTGTAGGCTCGAGGAGGGGAACAAACAGCCACCTACCGTGTGCCAGGCTTGGTTCCGTGTCACTGCCTGGGAGGGAACTCGCTGTCCTGAGCTTTCCACAGCTGTCATTACGTATCCACTCCATCCACAAAGTCACTGTGTGGCTTTACCCTCCCGTGTGCTGCCACGCTGGTCCCTGACCTGCAGAGCCTTTGTCTCTGGCTTCCTTCTCAGTGGGTTTCTTCACATGCATGATGTGCTTAGATCAGATTTGGATTCCTCAGCTGGTTCATCCTCCTGACCCGTGCATGGCTTCTCCTGAGCACTCCTTTGGGAGGTCACACTCAAGGATCATAGTAGACCTCGGCATTGCACAGGCAGCCACCTCTCCAAGGCATTTTCTTAGCTGTTGTGCACTAGGGAGTCACGTGTATGTATGGTGACTCCAATAGTGTTTTCACTTACGTGCCCTCATAGAATAGTCCGTGATTGTGCATCTCACATACCACATGCCTGTCCTCCTAAGACGTGGTTAGCCTACCAGACGTTAAGATTCCTAGAGTCACAGCCAGTGCTTTGATGTCACTTGTTTACATGTTACGTGCTGGTGCTAGCTTAGTAAGTAAAGGTCCTCACATAAATCAGACCAACTCCCATCAGTGCAAGCCTGCATTTTCACCGCCATGAAACATTTGGAGAATAGCTGTTGGAGTAGCCAGCCTGAAAGAAATGGATGCAAGTTTTATATTGCTCCATTATCATTAAAGAAAAGAAAGGGTGGAGTGGACATGGGGAAAGAGGAAAGAGAAGTAGAAGAAACGTCATTCTCTCTTCATCTTATCTGGTAGCTGCTTTTGAAGCCTTTTGCTTTCCAGGTTAACTCGCATGAGCAGATGTGGTCTACAGGAAAGAAAAGAAAGGAGAGGCTGCTGAGATGATTCTTGTGTCCTAGTCTAGCTCCCCGATGGCTTCCAACAGTATACCTCACCTTCATGTCCTTCATGTTTTCAGTCACATTTTATTAAAGATCACCCATGCCCTCTTGCATCGATAACATTTTGTAATGGAAAATCTACCATGTAGACGTCGGAAGCATTGCAGTGTATTAAGTAACACAGCTGTCACTGTATTTGGACCAGCCCAGGTTTCTCTTGGAACCAGTTAAACAAAGTCCTAAACCAAAGCAACTCTTCTTGCACCTAGAAAAGAGAACCAGGTAGGACACCTGGCCATTGTGCAGATTATTGTAATAGTGGTGGAGGCAAGTAAGTTTCCTTGTATTTTCAAAGCTTACGAACGTTCAAGTGCTTTTGCATAAATCATTTTTCCCCCTCCCTTTCTTTCAAGGTTGCTGGTGTCGTCGGCCGTGCAGATCTCCTCTGTGCCCTGTTCTTCTCGTTATCTTTCCTTGGCTACTGTAAAGCATTTCAAGAAAGTAAGTACTGTGTTCGCCTTCTTCGTTTTCTGCCTTCTTGAGTTTTGTCCTGTGGAGCGATGTTTGAACAGATGGGAAATTACCTGTTTATATAAGGTGATTGCTGTGAACTCTTTGGATATATCTGTTTATTCCATTGCCTTTGTCACAGTACAAAGTTTTAGATCAGTGATGCAGAGCCCTAGATCAATAACACAAAACTCCAGTGCCAGCGCTCCTGTGGGAATACCCTGATGGGTTGTGAAGCTAAAAGCAAAAGTTGTAGCAGAACTAATGAACCACTTGGGATAGATTTTTGCTGTTGAATTTTCAACAAAATTGTTCTGGGGCAGGCTGGACTTTTGATGCCATGTATGCTCCAACCTGGCGGCCTCTCTCTGGTTTCTCTGGATGAATTGGAACAACCCTGAGAGTTTTCACTCACCTGCTCCTCCTTCTCCCTCCTGTCTGGGGCACCCCTGGGGCTCAGGCTGAGTCTGGGAATACCTGTTCTCACAAGCTGGCAGCTCCGCCCCCCCCCCAATGGGAGGGGTACCCCTGTAGCCCTAGACTATACTGATGCTCACTGGGATGATTTATACTCACTACACACCACCCTCTTTTATCATTACTGTTTTTTGGTGCCTCTTCTTCCTGTGACTCATTATTTTCCGACTTATCAGAGGCTTTTGGGATAAGTGAATAAGGCTTGTGTACAGAGAAGAGCAGGAGTAACTTCTCTTCCTTGGACTAAAGGGTAGCTCAGCAGAAAGAACCATCCACCCTCTGGGGTGAAGTCTCTCCAGGGGTGTGGGGAGGTGCTCCTGCCCTGGCCTCTTAGTGAGCTTAGTGTTGCTGGCATCATCATTTGGCTTTTCTGTAAGACTGGGAATCAGAAATTGAAAATGGGCATGGGAGGAAGAGGGACCCTGCCTCCCTGGTATGTTTATTACCAAGAATGTTGCTACTTGTTCTGAACTTGACAGTCAAGTCTGAATTTGAAGATACGTAGAGTAAGAATGCATCAACAGTCCTATTTTTCCCAAAGAAGATTGCAAAATAAGACGTGGCTTTTCTCACAGACAGATCTAAAGTTTTATCAAGTATCATTTAGTGATTTTAGCATATCCTCCATTAAAGTAGCTACTCACTGTCTGAGTCTGAATGAGTTTCAAAGATGTTAGAAGTGCTTTCTGAAGAAAATGCTTTTGTCGATGGATTTCACATGTGGGACGCATCACTTAGGGAGTGAGCTACAACTTCTCACTGCTTTTAAAGATTGCTGTACTCTGGTTTCTCTTCCGAACCTATAAACCCTGCCCCTTTTACTTTTAAAGACTGCTGTTGTGAAATAATTGAGGAAACAATCACGAAAGCAAAACTTGCTCTACTGAGTGAGCTGATGTTTTTATTAACCTCTTTTAAGGTAATGTTCTCTCAGAATGGGAAACCCAGAGACATTTTACATTCTTTTCCTAGATTCTATACTGTTTCTCTGTATCCCAGTTCACAAATTTGTGCACTAATATTTATATTTGTATTTCTTTTTAAGTCATCTGTATATTATAAAATTATGTCTTAAGAGCCATCCATATAAAATATAACTTGCATAAAGTTTATGAAACTAACAATGAAGATAGAGGTGCTTAAATGTGGATGGTTTTCCACTTGACCTTCCTTTTTTGGCTCAGTAACTTTCTTTTAGCATTTATAACTTATTTAATTTAGTGGTAGAAAGAAATGATCAGACCTTTAAGGTTAAATTTGAAATTGTTTTTGAAGAAGTCAGCCTGGAAATATTTCATGTTTGCAGATCCATAGCAGTGATAGATATGACTAATACAGAAACACTTTTAAGCTTAGGGATGTAGAGCCAGATGTGGCTCTATACCTCTATAGAGGCTCTACCTCTATAATCCCAGCACTCTGGTAGGCCAAGGTGGTTTGTAAATTCAAGTCCAGATGAGCAATTTATAAAACCCTGTGTTAAAAATAAAATGTTTAAGGGGCAGGGGACATAGCTCAGTGTGAAGGACCCGAGTTCACTCCCTAGTACCACAGAAATAAACAGTCAAAAAGGTTGTGGACTGGTGTTCTCTGGATGGGAATTAGGTTTTTTGTTGGGTTTTTTTTTTTTTTTAAGCTTGGCTTTTTCTTTTTATTAAAGAAAAAAAAAGAATGAAGATAATACAAAATTTTTTAAAAAATGAAAAGTAAGAAATCACTAGTTGATAATTACATAATATCCTCTTACAAATAGTTTTTCAAGTTACAAAAGTGAAGTATACAAAGTGGACATTCAGTGAGACTGCAAATAGTTCTGTTCAACTCCAACAAAAACTTAGTAATGTGGTTATCAATCCTGTATACTTAAACATAATGCAGTTACATCCTTTAGAGTACTTTCTTTTCCTCTCTTTTACAATAGCAATTACACATTTTGAGTCTTATTACTCCTACATTTCTTACTACTTTTTACACTAGAGACACAATGTGATATTTATAAATATGATTCTTATTTATCTCACTAATGAGGATAGTCTCAAGTTGTCTGCATTTGCTTCTGAAGGCCTCAAGATCATCCTTTTTATAGCTGAATAGTATTCCATTGTATAAAAATACCACATCTTTTTCATCCACTCTGGTTGATGGGCATCTTGGTTGTTTCCAAGATTTAGCTATTACAAATTGTGCTGCTATGAACATGGGTTCACATATATCACTGTGACATGACCTTTTCAGTGTTTTTGGTAAAATATCCAGGAAGGGACTAGCTGGGTTGAATGGAACTTACAATCCTAATCTTCTGAGAATTCTCCATACTGATTTCCATAGTAGACTACACCAGTCTACATTCCCACCAACAGTGGAGAAGCGTTCCTTTTTCCTCGGAGCCTTGCCAACATTTGTTATCAGTTGATTTCTTGATGGCAGCTATTCATTCAGGAGTGAGATTGAAATCTCAAAGTTGTTTTAATTTGCATTTCTCAAATGACCAGTGATGATGAACATTTCTTCATGTATTGATTTGCCATGAACTGTGTGTTCACCTCAGATGCCCAGTTTTGGAGAGGGTCTTTGAATTTGGGGGGCTTGATGTTTTTCAGTTCTTTATATGTTCTGGATATAAGTCCTTTGTCTGAAGGGTTGCTGGCTAAAATTCTTTCCCGTTCTGTGGGTTTTCTTTTCACTCTGTTGGTGATTTCTTCTGAAGTGCAGAAACTTTTCAATAACATGAGATCCCAGTTGTTGATTCTTTGAAGTGTTTCCCATGCAGTTTGCATTTTATTCATGAATCTGCCTACCCCTATGTCTCCAAGACTTCTACCTACCTAGTCTTCTAGCAGATTTAGTGTTTCTGTTTTAATATTTAGGTCTTTGATCCATTTAGACTTCAGTTTAGTGCATGGTGATAGGCATGGATCTAGTTTCAGTCTGTGGCATGTGGAAAGCCAATATTTCCAACACCGTTTATTGAAGAGGCTATCCTTCCTCCAGTGAACATGTTCTTTGTCAAATATCAAGTGGCTGAGTATCTTTGTAGTTGTACTTGTGTCTTCTAATCTGTTCCATTAATCCTCAGGTCTATTTCTTTGCCAGTACCATTCTGATTTTATCACTGTGGCTTTGTAGTATACTTTCAAGTTAGGAATTGAAATGCCTCCTGCCTTGCCTTTGTTGCCCAGAGTTAATTGCCTTTGCTATTCTAGGTTTCTTCTGTTTCCAGATGAATTTTAGGGTTTTTTCTCTAGATCTGTGAGGTATGTTAATGGTATTTTGATTGAGATTGTGTTAAATCTGTATAGCAGTTTTGGGAGTATGGCCATTTTCATAATGTTGGTTCTCCCTAGTGGGAATCAGTTTCTTTTTCTTTTTCTTTTTAATTTTGTAACCTTTTTTATTTTTTTATTTTTTTTAATTTTATTTAAAGAAGAGAAAATTAAAAAAATATAAAAATGAGAAAAAATAGAATACAGAATTCAAAAAAAAATCATAAAATCGTTATGTCATCCTAACAATAGTTGTTAAAGTTCCAAAATCAAAGTATAAAAATGGCTAGACACTCAAACATTGACAGTGCAAAACCTTCTGTTAAATGATGTAATAGAAATTTAGTAATATGGTTATCTATCTTACATATTGTACGTACCATTATACCCTTTAGAGCACTTTGGGAATTAATTTCTAAAGCGGTTCAAAGACAGTGGACAGATAAGGAAATCCATGCAGAGGCCATTCTGTTGCCTGGGCTCTACAAGCTGCACCATTTCCCTGAATGCATTCTGTGAACTTGAACCCCCTTTAGCAAGAGGAAAGCATCAATCACTGTAGCCCATGGAGCGGCCTCCAGCTCGGTCTCTAGTCCTCTTGGGTCCCTGACAGCTAACCTCCTGTGTGACTGTTTGGAGCTATAGAAATTTATTTCTGGTCCATCCAGGCCTCAGTGCCGTCGCCCTGGAGGTGATTATTGGCCCCGAATTTTTGCATCCTTTCTGTGCTAAGTACCTACTTGCCTGGGTAGTCTGCGTTCCAGATCATCCATATAAAGCAGGCAGGTTAAAAGTCCCATGTTTCAGGCCACCATCCGAGTCACTGCGAGTTGGTTTTTGCTGTGTTTTTGTGACCCTGTCCATTGTTTCCCGTCGGACATTAGGACTGATCAGATTCTGCTTCCCAAGGCTGCCGGGGATGTAGAGGCACAGAGCAGCCTGGGTCCTGGAGAGAGGCCCATGGCCACACTGAGATTAGGGCCCCAGAGAGTCCCTCCCTCTGCCATCTCATCCTTTGTCACATCTGATTACCCCAGAATGGGAGCTGATGACACGGGCACCATGTTTTCAGCCATTTTTCTTGGGTTCCGTACCCTTTCAAACATGCTCATTGTAGTGTGTTTTTTGTTTATAGGTAACAGCTCTTCTCACTCATCCTTTAACCTCGTCTTAATGTTCAGCATCGTACATCCGGTGACTAGGAGTGTCTTTAGAGGAGCACAACCAGGTGTAGTGGCGCATTCCTATAAC